TAAATTGTTGCCAGCAGCACAGTTACAGTCACCAGTGGGGTGTTCTCTCATTATGTGTCTAGAAGTAGCTAGCCAATGTTAGCCAGTTAGCTTGTGTGCTTGACTGTTGTTGTGAGGTCAGAACGTTCTGATCAACCCTACTCATTGGCCAGAGCATCCAGTGTGCGTTCTGAACGTGAAACGCTCTGAATTTACGAACGGACAATCTGACAGCACAGTTGCAGTCACCAACGCTCATAACAGCCTAACCAGCTCTGCTAGGGCGAGTAATGTTCAGTGAGCTGTTCTCTCTCACTTAGATGTCTGGAAGTAGCTAGCAAGTTAGTACAGAATGCTCAGATGAACCCTTAAAGAGATGGGTGGGGCTAAAGCTTAAGAGGGTGTGACCGATGCTGAATGGGTGTAGACAAAGATGGGCTCTCCAGTAGTAGTACCAAAACATTCAAAGGCCATTTTCTCAAAAGTGAGTTTACAAGTTTATCAACTTTCAAAGCAAAATTACTTTCCCATTGTTCCTCAACTGTAGTGTATGATATACCATTTTGTAGCTCTGAGTCTCTAATTTTATCCAATGTAAAAACACAATTTCAAATATTGCTTCATAAGACCGATTTGAGCCGGTCGGTCACATATATTGTTTAGGTTTTCTACTGCCAGGTTTACTCCTTCACTATTATAGTGAAACATTTTGTCCAGGAAGTTGTCTAAAATGGATTGAATTTGTTGTTGCCTAATTGTTTTTTGGTAGGTTTCCACACTACTTTCCTTCCATCTATAGCATTTCTTAATATTATTCAGTTCCTTTGGATTTGATGCCACATGATTGAGTATTGCTCTGTGCAAGTAGACTGTGACTTTGCTGTGATCTGATAGGGGTGTCAGTGGGCTGACTGTGAACGCTCTGAGAGACTCTGGGTTGAGGTCAGTCTACAGTACTACTGTCAAGAGATGTGCTATAGGTGTACCTACCGCAGGAGTCCCCTCGAAGCCTACCATTGACTATGTACATACCCAGCGTGTGACAGAGCTGCAGGAGTTGTGACCCGTTTTTGTTGGTTATGTTGTCGTAGTTGTGTCTAGGGGGCTCACTCACTCACTCACTATCCCTCTCTGTCTCAAACCCCCCTCTCTTTCAGGCTGAATCAGACTGGAAATGCCAACAGTGAATTTAGGGCAACCCTACAAGTAGGAATCTTTTCTAATTTTAACTATAACAACGTTGTAATTCCAAGTTACTACATACTTTACATATTACCATGATTAAAACACATACGTTTGTAAGTTTGTCATGCATCGTAGAGTTGTCAAATAATTTAGAGTAGGACCAATAATAGGGGCAACACATGTTTTCTTATCTTTTCTTTTATAAAGCACTAGCTAGCTCATAGCTCAGTGAATAACTACTGTATTTGAGTGTCAATTGAAGATGATGTTCTGAATTACTCTGTTCATGCCAATCTACAGTGGTCCTATGGTTAATTAATGCCATAGAGAAAGCTTCATATTATTATTATTATTAGGAAGTGTCATGTAACAATGTTCAACACAGTAGATACTCCATGCCATTCACATCAACACACACATGCACACACACACCCACACCCCCCCCCCCACACCCCACACACACACACACTGAAATAACACACACGGAGGACGTTGTCTTGATAAAGATACCCAGACCTTTCTTCATGATTACTTTAAGCAACACATGTATATATTCAGTGGGATGCGTTGCTGCTCGTGAATGTATCATTGAATTGAATGTTTCCATTGATGTGTGGGCAGTGTTGGAAAAAAGCAGCCGCATCAATATTACATTGAGGAGAGAGAGGGGCACTGAATCACTAGCTTCTTTGACAGCTGCTTCTCCATCTCATTAGCATTGTGTGCGTGTGTGTCACAAAGATGTGGTGTGTGTGTGTGTCTCCGTGTGCATGCCCCATAGGACTCACTTCAGATGTGTCCTTTAATAGCTTACATACCCAGACTCTTTCTCCCCTCTCCCGCCCCTCCACTGGAAATGCTGCATTAACCCTAAACCATCAGCTATCTGCTTCACTTCCTACTTCACAATCTGGAACTCTCTCCAGTACCGCTTGTCTGAACTATTTTCCTCTCCCTGACCTTACATCTCTCCTATCATCCTCCTCTTATCCTCCTCTTTTCCTCGTCTACCTCTCCAGCTGCTTTTTCCTCCTTTTGGGTATCCCACTCTCTCTCATCCCTCTCTCTCATCCCTCTCTTTCATCCCTCTCTCTCATCCCTCTCTCTCATCACTCTCTCTCATCCCTCTCTCTCATCCCTCTCTCCTCATCCCTCTCTCTCATCCCTCTCTCTCATCCCTCTCTCATCCCTCTCCTCTCATCCCTCTCTCTCATCCCTCTCTCTCAACCCTCTCTCATCACTCTCTTTCATCCCTCTCTCTCATCACCTCTCTTCATCCCTCTCTCATCCTCCTTCCTCCCTCTCATCCCTCTCTCTCTCTCTCCCTCCTCATCCTCTCTCTCATCCTCCTCCTCTCATCCCCTCTCTCATCCCTCTCTCTCATCCCTCTCTCACCCTCTCATACCTCCTCTCACCTTCCATCCCTCGTTCATCCTCTCCGCATCCCCCTCATCCTCTCCTCTCACCTCTTCTCATCCCTCTCTCTCATCCCTCCCTCTCATCCTCTCTCTCATCCCTCTCAATCTCATCACCTCTCTCTCATTCCCTCTCATCTCCCATTCATCTCCGCATCCCCTCTCTCTCCCTCTCTCGCATCCCTCTCTCTCCTCTCTCCCTCTCTCCATCCCTCTCTCCTCATCCCTCTCTCTCATCCCTCTCTCTCATCCCTCTCTCATCCCTCTCTCATCTCCTCTCCATCCCTCTCTCTCCCTCTCATCCCCCTCGCTCGTCATGCCCTCTCTCTCATCCCTCTCTCATTCCCTCTCTCTCATCCCTCGTCATCATCCCCTCTCATTCCCTCTCATCCCCTCTCATCCCTCTCGCCCTCTCATCCCCCTCATCCTCTCTCATCCCTCTATCACATCTTCTCTTTCTCTTCACACTCAGACACTCTAACTCCCGCTCATCTCTCCCACGCCTCTCTGTCATGTCCTTCTGTATTTTTTTTATCACTCATATCTCCATCTTTTTCCATATGTTTGTCTCTCTTTCCCTATCCCTCACGCATTCTCTCTCTCTGTCCCTACCTCCATCTCTCACCCCCTCACTCTCTCTACCTCTTCTTCTCTCTCTCCCTCTCTCTATTCCCCTCTCTCTGGGTCGATGATGACCCTGGTTGTTTTATCCTAGATGGGATGTACTCTGACAGGGCTGCAGACTGCATGCAGGAGGTCAAAGGTCAGATAGTAGGCTTAAACGGAGCGCATCGACCGGCCTGCCGGCGGACCCTGTGGCTCATCATAACTTCCCCTCCTTGCCTGTTCAGCTTGGGTTTATACAGAGAGAGGCACAGCCAAGCCCAGACCAAAGGAACACAACACATTGAGTCCATGCATAGATTGTAAAGCATTTTGATAGGGTCAAATAAGTTCAAACACTCAATTAGTCCAGAGGAGTGTGATGTCATAATCATACAGTGGGGAGAACAAGTATTTGATACACTGCCGATTTTGCAGGTTTTCCTACTTACAAAGCATGTAGAGGTCTGTAATTTTTATCATAGGTACACTTCAACTGTGAGAGACGGAATCTAAAACAAAAATCCAGAAAATCACATTGTATGATTTGTAAGTAATTAATTTGCATTTTATTGCATGACATAAGTATTTGATCACCTACCAACCAGTAAGAATTCCGGCTCTCACAGACCTGTTAGTTTTTCTTTAAGAAGCCCTCCTGTTCTCCACTCATTACCTGTATTAACTGCACCTGTTTGAACTCATTACCTGTATAAAAGACACCTGTCCACACACTCAATCAAACAGACTCCAACCTCTCCACAATGGCCAAGACCAGAGAGCTGTGTAAGGACATCAGGGATAAAATTGTAGACCTGCACAAGGCTGGGATGGGCTACAGGACAATAGGCAAGCAGCTTGGTGAGAAGGCAACAACTGTTGGCGCAATTATTAGAAAATGGAAGAAGTTCAAGATGACGGTCAATCACCCTCGGTCTGGGGCTCCATGCAAGATCTCACCTCGTGGGGCATCAATGATCATGAGGAAGGTGAGGGATCAGCCCAGAACTACACGGCAGGACCTGGTCAATGACCTGAAGAGAGCTGGGACCACAGTCTCAAAGAAAACCATTAGTAACACACTACGCCGTCATGGATTAAAATCCTGCAGCGCACGCAAGGTCCCCCTGCTCAAGCCAGCGCATGTCCAGGCCCGTCTGAAGTTTGCCTCCTTCCCTCAGTAAGAGCATTGAAGATGGGTCGTGGCTGGGTCTTCCAGCATGACAACGACCCGAAACACACAGCCAGGGCAACTAAGGAGTGGCTCCGTAATAAGCATCTCAAGGTCCTGGAGTGGCCTAGCCAGTCTCCAGACCTGAACACAATAGAAAATCTTTGGAGGGAGCTGAAAGTCTGTATTGCCCAGCGTCAGCCCCGAAACCTGAAGGATCTGGAGAAGGTCTGTATGGAGGAGTGGGCCAAAATTCCTGCTGCAGTGTGTGCAAACCTGGTCAAGACCTACAGGAAACGTATGATCTCTGTAATTGCAAACAAAGGTTTCTGTACCAAATATTAAGTTCAGGTTTTCTGATGTATCAAATACTTATGTCATGCAATAAAATGCAAATTAATTACTTTCAAAATCATACAATGTGATTTTCTGGATTTTTGTTTTAGATTCCGTCTCTCACAGTTGAAGTGTACCTATGATAAAAATTACAGACCTCTACATGTTTTGTAAGTAGGAAAACCTGCAAAATCGGCAGTGTATCAAATACTTCTTCTCCCCACTGTATATTAGTTGACTACATCATTGTTATGTAAGCATCAATGTCTGTTTACATATTAATGTTAAAGGTTATCATTACCCATCTTACCATCGTGGTTGGGGTTGCCCAGGGTCCAGGGTTCGTCTGAGTCAAAGTGGGTGTCCCCACCGATTCCGGGGCCCGGGAAGTAGGCGTGGGCCAGGAAGCCCCCCTCGCCGTCGAAGGGCGAACTGTCGCCGTGGAAACCCGAGGCAAAGATGATGGTGATGTCCACGTCCTTCTTGGTCCTCTCCAGGTCGCTGTAGGGGACGGCCTCGAAGCGGAGCGGCGTCACGTTCTGCCACACATCGAACGCCCGCCGGATGGCGTCATGGGTCTCCTCCGCGCCCACCTTGGGTGTGACGTTCTTTATGCTGTGGCAGGGGAAGAGGATAGAGGATGGTAGGGGTTAGGCCACACATACTGTGACCCCGTATATCATAACATAGCCTTGGTATTTCAGAGATACCATACATTCTTTAATTAAACCATAAATAGCACATTAACACACACATTCCATATTGTAACATATTATAATGTACCATAGCATACAGCAACACACCACCCATACCAAGTCGTACTACCGAAAAGTGAAGTATAAAAAGGGACTCTGAGAGAGAGTGTGCATCCCAAATGGCACTCTATGCCCCATGGGCCCTGGTCAAAAGTAGTGCACTACAAAGGAAATAGGGTGCCATTTGGGAGGCAGCCAGAGATGCAGCTGAGTCCTCTCCTGCTGTTTGGACTGCTATAGCCAGGTGTTGAGAGAAGAACTAGAGGATTTCCTGATTTCCTGTCCCTGGAATTTTCTTTCTAATTAAGGATTATACACAGCTGACTGCGTCACAAGAGCACCAGCAATCTGCATCTCCAATGGCACCCTACTCCCTATTTAGTGTACTACTTTTGATCAAGGCCCAAAGTGCTCTGGTCAAAAGTAGTGCACTATATAGGGAATAGGGTTTAATTTGGGACGAAGCCTCAGTCTGGCTTGGCCAATCTCCATACCCTCTTCACCTTAGTCACGCCTAAAATACGGGAAAGAGGGGCACTTTGAATTTAAACTTATTTTTCCTTCTCAACATTGCACTTAAGCATCAGGTTTCATCTCCAGTTCTTCTCTTGAGCAGAAGTGGATGAGTGAAGTAGAGAAATCAGACACTAGCTACATTTCTACTGAAGTTAGCTAGTACTCTGGGGCTCATTGTGTTTGTAAAGCCACTCCAGCCCCATGGTGTGCTTTCTTCTATTGAAGGAATCTAAACTGTTAAGGTCGGCTGAGTGTTCATCTCATCTGCTCTTCTGAAGTGATGCCTGCCTCAAAGAAATATTTATGTGAATCAATATCTAATTTTCTCTCTTTGGAGATCATCTGCTCTCTCTCGCTCTCTTGGTTTCTCTCTATCTGTTTCTCTCTGTCTATCTGTCTCTCTTTCTCATCTTGGCTCTTGTGTGTTTACTCTTCTCCACTCTTGCTCTCTGTTTCTTGTCCCCTTCTTTCTTTCCTCTTTCTCTAATTATTTCAGGCAACATAAAAAACATGGTGAATCTATTGTCTTGTGCTCCTTCTATATCTATTCCTAGGGAGTTTACAGTATCAGCATAGTATAAGCTGAGAGTTGAGCTAACGGCTCAGCAGCTCAGTGGTGATCTTTGACATCTCTCTCTATCTCTCCTCTCCAGACTCACAGTCCTCAATCTTTATTACAGATGGAAAGGACTGGGATGTGTATGCTCCAGTAGATTGAGATCTATTCCAGACTTGGACATGATATATGCTCATAGAGATAGGGATTAGCTAGAGGGTGGAAGAAGAACTATGAGCGTAGAGATAGGAGAGAAGAGATGCAACTATATAGGTCTCTCTCTCGCTCTCGATATATAAATATACTCTCCAGGATCTCTCTATCCTGCTATCCTACCTCTATCCTCTCTCTCTCGCATCTCTCCTACCTATATCCTCTCTCTCTCCTCCTCTCTTCCTTTCGATCTTCTCTCCTTGTCTCTCTCAATCTCCTTACCCTCTTCCTCTCTCTCTCTCTCTCTCTCTCTCTCTACTCTCTCTCCATCAGGACCTTCTCAGACCTCTACAGAGGCCTCTGGTTAGGCAGAAGGCAGTAGGCTGTTGTTTGAGGAGCTTGTTAATCGTCTATTGTCTCTCAGTGTTACGACAGTAAACACACAAAATACAACAGAAACCCAAACAGATGACAAGACGAGTAAATCTTTGATTTTACAGCACCCCTACTCTCCTTCTCCCTCTCTGCTCTCTCTCTTTCTCTCTCTCTCTCTCTCTCCCTCTCTCTCTCTCGCTCTCTTTTCCTCTCTCTTCATCTGTCTCTTGGGTCAGAAGCTGTTACTCTAACTGAAAATGAAAGAAGTCTTGTTTATTTATTCCCAGGGGGACATTTGCCACCAAGGTGTCTCTCTAATCCGCCGCTGGTTGGATTGAACTTTGACTGTCTGCAGCTGTCCGTCGTCACATGATGACTCTCTGGGCTCTCTGAGGCACAGCTTGATGCTGAGGTACTCTGAGGCCACACACTCATGATGTCATTATGAGGAACACAACTACCCAGGCAGAGTGTCCCGTGATTGGTTGTTTCAGTCAGAAACGTGTCATTCTGACGAGTGATTGGCTGTTAGCGTCAGAATTGTGTCGTAATCTTCAGTGCCGTTGAATGAACACCATGACTAGTATACTTGATGGGTGGTCCTCTTAGGTTAGATCTTAGTGGAAGATTGTGGGTGTTGATTGCAGTGTGGTTTGTGAATCAGTGGTCCATAACTGGAATGTAACAGGAACTTTACAATTGTTAACTAAGGTTATTGTTCTAGAATCTCCAGTATATCAGATTTGGATGCACTCTGCGGTATGCCAAACAAAATCAAGCAAACAGGGAAAAATATGTCCCTGAAATACATATCAGCTGATCGAGCAAACTTGATACAGCGGCTGTAGAACCACTTTCTCACGGACACTGAGATTAGATGTAAGAACTCTCCACTCTGCAGTCTACATAAATAGGCTAAGTGTCCTTGTTTTACCTTGTCTAACAATGTAATGACTCCTACACCTCACCTCACCTCACCTAAAATATTAAACCTATACGGCTATGACCACTTAAAATATTAAACCTATACGGCTATGACCACTTAAAATATTAAACCATATACGGTTATGACCACTTAAAATATTAAACCTATATGGCTATGACCACTTAAAGAATAAAAGGCAAAGAGAAAGTGCACTTACATTTTTTTTAAAAACAGTTTCACCCCTTTAGCCTAATTTAGTAATACAGTATGCATTTTCTGCAACACTGAAGGGCCAAACAAATAGGAGTTCCTGCCATTGTCTCCACTCAGTTTGTTAAAGTTACCCAAAGAGTACAAATCGTTGTTGCTGACAATAAACTGCTTGGGAGTCAGAAGCATACAGTAGAGAGAGCGGGGAGAGAGAGAGTAGTGTATGGATGCATGTTGTTTTAATGAGGGTGAGCTATAAGGCTGTACACTACCTCCATACTCCATGCTGGGAGAGTTATGGGGATGCTAGGGCTAATTATCACCTCCCTACCATTAGCATGTGCCTACTATATGTCAATGAATGCACATGTCCAGTACCAACAGAGAGAGGCACAATCACTTAACTGGCAAACACCCAGACTTCCACTCAAGTTACATGGATACACAGCCTCTCTCATAGAAAAACATCAAGACAATACATTGCAGAGCAGAAGTGGATGGGATAGTTAGGATGATGGGACATGGTAGACAGAGGACGGATGTGACTTTATCCCCATCTGGCCAGCCCAGCTACTGGAGACAACCACACACACACACACACTCTCCCTCTGCCCTCGTCCTCACACACTCCCTCTCCCAAAATGTTGTATCTCGTTATATAACCATAATCTGACTCAGCTTTCCGCTCTGTATCGCTACAATACTGTTTCTAGTCTGTTTCTCATTGCCATCTCACTCTCGCTCAGTCCCTCTTCACTCACTCTCTCTCTTTCTCTCAGTCTAAGCAATCAGTCATGTCATCTAACATAGGATTGCATAAAACTGTATAATACTGACATACAGTTTACTGAGACTCCTCCCCTCATCTCTCCTTCTCTCCCCTCATCATCTCTCCTCTCTATTCATCTCTCCTCTCCTCTCAGTGTCTAGCTAAGCGAAAGAGGAAAGAGAAGAGAAAGAGAAGAAAGATCCTGACTACCTCACTCAAGCTACTCCTCATCCTCTACTCCCCTCATCTCTCCTCTCCCTCCCTCCCTCCCTCCCTCCTCAATCTCTCTCTCCTCTCCCTCCCTCATCTCTCCTCTCCTCTCCCTCCCTCATCTCTCCATCTCATTCCTGCCATTGCTACAGTTCATGAGTGGGTCACAGATTCCAGATTGTAATCAGGGTTTTGGTAATACTGTTCATATCTATCCTTCAAGGCAGACAAAAATGTAAATTCTTTTTTATTCTGAAGCTCAAGGATTAGTCCATAAAGTCTGGGATTGGGGGCAGTTATACTGTTGTACAGTACATTTTAAAATGTAGGGCCAGGCAGAGACCTATATTTGATCTGGTATTGCAAAAATTACATTACAATTTTTACATATATTTATTGGTATTTAGCTTTAAAGTCTGATATGTGTTATTGAGTAATGATATTTTGAGACATGGGTGTAATCCTATCTGATGTAGTGTGGACACAGCCTAAGAGTACCCCTCAATAACATAACAACGTGGCATATGGTCTTTACTAAACTCTACAACTACCGACCATGTACATGGTTAGATTACGCCTGAAAATAGATTGTTGAAAGAATGAGATAGAGAGAGATAAAAGGAGCGTGAAAAAAGGAGCAGAAGAAGAGGATCGCGAGGAGTGGCTTCAATGTTCAGATTAAAGAAGAATGACATGGTAGCTGTCCTTCTAATGTGTGTGTGTGTCTGTCTGTCTGTCTGTCATTCTGTCTGTCTGTCTGTCTGTCTGCAAGGCTGGATGCAAGTCAGACTGTTGTATAAAAAGAGAGCGGGAGGATTGTGATATCTAATGAGTTGAGTAAGGCTGCTAGTTAAGTTTGTAGAGAGGACACGAGAGGGTATTCTACCTCTGGTCTAGCCAGGTTTCAGTATAGGACTTGTTAAGGCAGGAGATGTATAGCTAGTAGCTAGGGGAAAACTAAACTGTGCTTCTGGGGTTATTTTTCTTTATCTACAGTGCATTCGGAAAGTATTCAGACCCCTTGACTTTTTCCACAGTTTGTTACGTTACAGCCTTGTTCTAAAATTGATGAAATCGTTTTTTCCCCCTCATCAATCTACACACAATACCCCATAATGACAAGCAAAAACCAAATAATGAAAAAGAAAAAACAGGTTTGTAGAAATTTTTGCAAATGTATAAAATAAAATAAACTGAAATATTACATTTACATAAGTATTCAGACCTTTAACTCAGTACTTTGTTGAAGAACCTTTGGCAGCAATTACAGCCTTGAGTCTTCTTGGGTATGACGCTACAAGCTTGGCACACCTGTATTTGGGGAGTTTCTCCCATTCTTCTCTGCAGATCCTCTCAAACTCTGTCAGCTTGGATGGGGAGCGTCGCTGCACAGCTATTTTCAGGTCTCTCCAGAGATGTTCGATCGGGTTCAAGTCTGGGCTCTGGCTGGGCCACTCAAGGACATTCAGAGACTTGTCCCAAAGCCACTAATGCGTTGTCTTGGCTGTGTGCTCAGGGTTGTTGTCCTGTTGGAAGGTGAACCTTCGCCCCAGTCTGAAGTCCTGAGAGCTCTGGAGCAGGTTTCCGTCAAGGATCTCTCTGTACCTTGCGCCGTTCATCTTCCACTCGATCCTGACTAGTCTCCCAGTCCCTGACGCTGAAAAACATCCCCACAGCATGATGCTGCCACCACCATGCTTCACCGTAGGGATGGTGCCAGGTTTCCTCCAGACGTGACGCTTGGCATTCAGGCCAAAGAGTTCAATCTTGGTTTCATCAGATCAGAGAATCTTGTTTCTCATGGTCTGAGTGATTTTGGTGCCTTTTGGCAAACTCCAAGCGGGCTGTCATGTGCCTTTTACTGAGGAGTGGCTTCCGTCTGGCCACTCTACCATACAGGCCTGATTGGTGGAGTGCTGCAAAGATGGTTGTCCTTCTGGAAGGTTCTCCCATTTCCACAGAGGAACTCTGGAGCTCTGTCAGAGTGACCAACGGGTTCTTGGTCACCTCCCTGACCAAGGCCCTTCTCCCCGATTGCTCAGTTTGGCCAGGCGGCCAGCTCTAGGAAGAGTCTTGATGGATCCAAACTTCTTCCTTTTAAGAATGATAGAGGCCACTGTGTTCTCAATTTCGAGTCTCATAGCAAAGGGTCTGAATATTTATGTAAATAAGGTATTTCTGTTTGTTTTTTTATAAGTGTGCAAACATTTCTAAAAACCTGTTTTTGCTTTGTCATTATGGGGTATTGATTGTAGATTGATGAGGTATGTTTTTAATTTAATCAATTTTATAATAAGGCTGTAACGTAACAAAATGTGGAAAAAGTCTAGGGGTCTGAATAATTTCCTTACTGTACAATATAATATAGTGTATCGTTGCTGTCTGCTGAAAAATATAACTCAAATGTATTTATTTTTGTACATGTTTTGAAAGCAATGTACTCAATGTACTGTATGAGTACTCTAGGACCAAGAGAATATATTCGAAATAGCTTCTGATGTTTCGTAATTGTATGTTCGTTAATGGGAAAATATGGCAGTTTAAAAAAGTCCCTGAAAAGTTTCTGTTTTGGAGGGTTTCATCAGACAACGACCAATATAATACAGTATATGCAACTTAACTGTAGCTTTTTATCCAAAGCGACTTACAGTAAATAGAGTGAATCCCTTTGTAGTATGTGATCCCTGCGGGTATTGAACCCAACGACCTTAGTGTTGTTAGTGTCGTGCTCTTACCAACTGAGCCACACAGGACCGTTCAGATATAGCCTAGCTGAGAGGTTGCCACATGTCTTCACCTAGTAAGACATTCTTATCTAGACGCATGAACAACATGAAACCTAGACACATCCTCAGGCACACGTCAGCCCCATATAGTAAAGCCCACGTTTTAAAGTACTGTATGAATTGTTTTAACCAAAAATCAATCACTAATCAACCAATCACCAACCAACCATCTAACCAACCCATCAATCAACTCACCTGTATGCGATATGCTTATGCTACCAACCAACCAACCAATCACAGACCAACCAACCAATCACCAACCAACCAACCAATCACAAACCAACCAACCAATCACCAACCAGCACACCAACCAACCAATCACCAAGCAACCAACCAACCAAGCAACCAATCAACTCACCTGTATGTGATATGCTTATGCTGCCACTTCTGCCCCGTTAGGGCGTACCGCTTTTTCCGGACACTGAATTTGGACGCCCCTCCTAGCTGGTCTGGTACACCACATCGAGGCTTCTTCATCCAGCTAGGAAGAACAGAGTGCTTGGCTGAACAAACTATGTAATGCAATCCTGTCATTACTTCCAATACACACACACACAAACACGCTTGTGGACACACACTAATCTGCAAAGAAATAGACACATAATAAGAGATATGCCTCACCTTACTGTGTTATCGCTAACATCATTATACGGAGCACAAAGAAACAGAAAATGATACTTTAGAATGCAATTTAGTCATCACATATTCCACCACATTATTGTAACTGATTTGATACACACATCATAACATTGATCTCAGCAGCAAAAAAGGTACTTGTTTGTCTAATCCTTTTAACACAACCTGGATAAGAGCGTCTGCTAAATGACTCAAATGTAAATGTAAATGTAAACCAAACTGCACCTTCTTAGACTCCTTGTGTGCATCCCAAATAGCACCCTATTCCCTATATAGTGCACTACTTTTAATCATGCATCCTAAATGGCACCCTATTCCCTATATAGTCCACTACTTTTAATCAGAGCCCTATGAGCCCTGGAGAAAAGTAGTGCACTATATAGGAAATAGGGTGCCATTTGGGATAAAGCCATAGGGTCTCTTACACATGTTGATTGGTTCAATGAGCAGCAGAGAGACAGAAAGGAAGACAGGAAGACTGAAGCTGTCATTCCCTTTTCTAGGCTTCTAGGTTCAGAGTAATACCGTGGCATTTACCCTGACTTTGATCTGCTGGTGTAGGTGTGTCTGCTGTAAAATAGCCCTTTGATCACATTAAAACGGGACACTTAACCCGTGTGATGCTAACTCTGTGTCTGGGAAACACTCTCGTCTGTTCTCTTCTGTTCCGGAATGTCAAGCAGAGAATCAGGACAGCATTACAGGTATGTTTATAAAGGTCTGTCTGTCTGTAACTGTTTATTGGATGTTTAGGGATGTTCGTCAACCTACAATGAAGTTGGACTGCACAGAATGAATGATTTACAAAGCACCTTGCATCCCAAATAACTACTCATTATGTGATCAAGATGAATAATTATGTGCATCTTCTTTCTCAAACCGATCCCCTACAACATGCAAAGCGGTGAGACTCACTCTATAGTGTTCCTGTCCAGCGATCCTGTGATGTTGAGGCCATAGAGACGCTGCATGGCAGCGATAGCAGACTGCATGGTCTGGGCCGTCCGCAGGACCGACATTCTGGGGTCTGTAGGGGGAAGGTAGCCATACCTCTGGAGCCATGTCTGAAGAGGGGAACGAGGGAAGGAGGGGGGAGAGAGAGAGAAAGGACACAGAGGTGAGAGGTCAGCAAATGGTCAATCTGAGCCAAATAATGTAAAATTCCAATAAGGTAGGCTTTATGTATACTACTTTATAAGAGCCATTGAAACCCACACAACCATCAAACAGTGGTGTAAAGTACTTAAGTAAAAATACTTTAAAGTACTACTTAAGTAGTTTTTTGTGGGTATCTGTACTTTACTGTTGATATTTTTGACAACTTTTACTTTTACTCCACTACATTCCTAAAGAAAATTATGTACTTTCTACTCCATACATTTCCCATGACACCCATAAGTACTTGTTACATTATGAATGCTTAGCAGGACAGTAAAATGTATCAAGAGAACATCCCTGGTCATCCCTACTGCCTCTGATCTGGCGGACTCATTAAACACAATGCATCATTTGTAAATTATGTCTGAGTGTTGGAGTGTGCCCCTGGCTATCCGTAAATTTTAAAAACAAGAACATCGTCCTGTCTGGTTAACTTAATATAAGGAATTTGAAATGATTTATGCTTTTACTTTTGATACTTAAGTATATTTGAGTAAAATCAAATACTTTTAGACTTTTACTCAAGTAGTATTTTACTGGGTGACTTTCACTTTTACTCACTTTTACTTGAGTCATTTTCTATTAAGGTATCTTTGCTTTTACTCAAGTATGATAATTAGGTACTTTTTCCACCACTGCCATCAAATATGATTAAAGTGAAACAGTAATATACTATCAATTCAACCATAAACCCTGCATGTAAAAAACACTTAGTTGGAGAAGCAATGCCATTTTCAATTTTGGTAGTTGTTGGCACTATAAATAATTTCCAAAAAGTGCCCATGCTAAAAATGTCAAGTGTCCATCCAGGCAGGAGCATTTTAGCAGCCAGCCAGCAGCATCTAGCTACAGTGTTAGTGAGGAGACTGGCAGAGAGACAGAAAGAGAGATCCTCTGATGACCTTTCAGCGTGGGAATGTTATCTATTATCACATCGTCTGCTTGTCAGAAAGCACTCTGATGTAATGGAGCTTTCAGGGCACCCGATAAAATCTGAGATCTCTATACGAAGGGAGGAGAGGCGAGAAGAGGGGAGGGGAGGGGAGAGGAGAGGAGAGGAGAGGGCCTTGGTCAAAAGCAGTGCAGTATAGAGGGAATAGGTGTATTTGGGACACAGTCATAGAGCAGTAAGCCAACAGCAATGAGCTGGAAGCAGGGAATCACCAGAGCATAAACACCTCCCTACAGAGCTATTATGGTGCTGCATTACTGCATTACACATGAAAAAGACCCGCTCCTCTCATCTTCTCTCCTGCCTGGTAATAAAACACAATCTCACACATACTGTAGCTCAAATCCATATCCACTCCACTCAGAGAGAAGGGGAGGGGAAGACACACACACTGAGAGAGAGAGAGAGAGAGAGCGAGCGAGAGAGAGAAAATAGAGAGAATAAAAAAGAGACAGAGAGATGCACAGAGAAAGGCTTGGAGTAGAGTCTCACCAACAGTTCTGCCATTACTCCACCAATGAGGTCACACAGACTATTTTATGACCAACGCAACCAATAGGCTACAGTGGAACACAGATAGGCCTAGTGGTAGAAAGAAAACAACCTGGCATACAGACATGTGTGAAACGTGTCCAATACTCGTATATTGAGGGCAAACGTGTGAAAATACTGCCATGATAGCAGAAAAACCCAAGGAGACAGCTATTGTAGTATTACAGTATGATGTCTAAATTGACATCCCATATTTCAACCAGATATAGTGATTGGCACACAACAGTACAGGAGGATGACTGATCCCTGATGCACTGACTTCCGATCCCAAAAGACTCTGGGTAGGGAGTGAAGTAAAGAGAGTCACACAAACAGAGGCAGTGACAGTTTGTCACTTGACGGTCTTCTACATGGCAGGTGTCAAACTGCTGTGTGGAGAAATGGTGTGAGAAGAGGAGAGATGAAGAGAGGAGGGGAATAGAGCAAAGATCAGGTTAAAGCCTTGCGATTGTTCTGATTTATTACAGGAAAGCACATAGACTACTACTGTACTATATGCACATGCCACACTTACATTCAGAAAGACAGACAGAGAGACCAATGAAGAGCAGCGAATGTGACAGACAGCCAATGAGACAGATCTCCAACAATTGTCATTCTCCTCACATTCATTCTCACCCTGCATCAACCCACTACTGAACTTAGCAAGACGCACACACTATGCTCTTGTTCGATTCTATTCAAACCTGACGTGAGGGATAACGCCAACTGATCCGTGCTTCAGTACAGTAGTGATCTGTAATACAGTGTGAAGTATGCAGGCTAGGAGTTTACGTTACACAGAGCACTCACTACATCTGACATTGAACTGTTGAGAGGGCTTGTTCTGCCCCACTGCTCCTCCTGAATCACACACACCCTTGCATACACACACACACACACACACACACACACAGAGGGAGCTTTTCATGATAGGATTCAGTGTGGTCCAAACATGTCAGTCAGTCCTTCCACATCCCTGCACCTTCATCCCCTCTCTGTGTTCTTACAACTGCTGGATAGAGTCCCAAATGGCACCCTATTCCATATTCCCTACTTACTGCACTCCTTTCGACCAGGGCCCATAAAAGCCTGGAGGAGAGGGAGATGTTTTTATTTTTATTTAAACAACCTCTTTCTTTCTTTTTGATATTTTTTTGTATTGTTCTTATTTGTCCATGCAAGGGTTAAAATACAGAGAGCTGTTTAAGTGTCTCTCTCTCTCTCTCTCTCTCTCCATCTTTTACCACACCTATTCTCTCCATCTTTCTCTCTCTATGCGAGGGGATGATAACATATATGGTGTGTGTCAGTTATTCTCAGGGCTGAAATGGCCCCCAGGGGGACAGAGGCTAGATACAGTCAGTCCAGTGTGATTCCCAGTGAACTAGTCAGGTAATGACACTACTATACCACCTATAAATACACAGAAACAGACACATTGTACTGTACATACGCCAATAATACTCAATAAGGAAAACTACGCAAATAGACTGATCATCGCATTCAGTGAACATTCTATTTTGTAACTTGCTAATGAATTGGACAGCCACGACCCTCAGCTTTCAGGTACACTTGATAATCAGCAGATTATGCACTCATGATACAAGGATTAATCCATCACTGTAAATGTTGTAGAAAAACACATGAGGGATCTGCAGGCCCTGAGAAATGTACTATAGGCTCTCTCTTGCTCTATCGCTGTCTTTTTTCTTCTGTATATCTCTCTCCCTCTCAATCCCTATTTCTCTCTCCCTCCGTCTCCCTATCTCTTTCTTTCACTCCCTCTCCCCCTCTCTCTCCTGCTCTCTCTCTATCTCTCTCTGCCCTTCGACCACAGCTCCTGGACGACATGGAAGCTATTACAGTAAAATACTATCTGTGATAGTGCTGTCCTGGCACTTTTCAGGCGCTTCAGGGGGTATAACAGAAATTAGGATGAAAAGTACACCGTTTAGACATTAGGTAAACAACGCCACCACTATCCGCAACCACTATCACGTTGTTTCCTGTGAGTCAAATGGGACTCAATCGTTTTGCTAGGAATAAAAATATACATATATTTATTTTTTGTATCTCTTTTCATTTATTTTTTATTTTTAGCAGACGCACTTATCCAGAGCGACTTACAGTTAGTGCATACATAATTTTTTTATTTTTCATACTGGCCCCCCGTGGGAAACGAACCCACAACCCTGGCGTTGCAAACGCCATGCTACATCCCTGCCGGCCATTCCCTCCCCTACCCTGGACGACGCTGGGCCAATTGTCCGCTGCCCCATGAGTCTCCAGGTCGCGGCCGGCTACGACAGAGCCTGGATTCGAACCAGGATATATTTCAATGCTCAACACAGTTAAAAGCAGGGAATCGCTTTATAGTTGAAAAATGATGTTGTATCACAGTCAACGTGCTGTTATAGAACATTGTGTTCTGTGTGGAGGAGTATTATGTAAAATGTAAAAGCTATAAATAAACCAAAACAACAAACATCTGGGTTGGAGTTGTATATATTGTGAGGCATCTACATCCCAAATGACACCCTATTCCCAATTTTGTGCACTACTTTTGACCAGCACTCATAGGGCCCTGGTCAAGAATAGTGCACTAAATAGGGAATAGTGTGCCTTTTGGGACGAAACCAAGTCCCCTTACACACAGCTCTTAGTTCAGAAGCTGATAGTGTAGTCTAGGCCATTAGCACTGTGAAAAATGTGCTTTCAGGCTATGAGAACACATTTTCTTATCTAAAAACACAAGTGTTGCAGAAAGCTGAATTTGTAATTTAGAAAACTGGGGCTCACAGTCACAATTATGATATAGCCCAAGGGATTACAGTAACACATTGTCAACAAAAATAAAAATAGTCTTGTTAAAATTTCCATTATGATAATTGTGTCTTTGCATTAGGCTAGGCTATGTAGGCTACTTAAGCATTAACCAGAAGTCAAGGATTGCGTCCCAAATGACACCATATATCCTATTTAGTGTAATAATTTTGACTAGGGCCCATAGGCACTCTTAGAAAAAAGGGTTCCAAAAGTGTTCTTCGGCTGGTCCCAACGTAGAACTCTTTTGGGTTCCATGTAGAACCCTCTGTGTAAATGGTTCTACCTGGAACCAAAATGGGTTATTCAAAGGGTTATCTTATTGAGACAGCTGAAGAACCCTTTTAGGTTCTAGATAGCACCTTTTCTTTTTAAGAGTGCAGTGCAAAGGGTGCCATTTGGGACAAAAATCAGGGAAGTAAAATGTGTACATGTAAAGCTTGTGTTCCTGTCAAACCAGCCTTCGTATCAGCTACATTCTACAGCCACCTGCCGAATCCATCAACATAGATAGATTGATTTAGAGGGGTCAGCTCTGTAGTGGTTTCCCCATCTCCCTGTGGGACAATAATGATGACTCAATATACTAGTATGGGC